TTTAAGAAGTGCATGTATGCATATGAAAACGAAGACCAATTCAAAGAAGGCTGGAGAAATATTCTAGTAACCTATGATGTTAAAGAAAACACTTGGTTGCAAAGAGTGTACACTATAAAGGAGAAGTGGGCATCATGTTACATGAAGAAAGTTTTTACATTAGGAATGAGATATTAAAGGGTTTATGAATGTGAACTTGGATATAATCAAAAATTTTAAGCGCTTTGAGGATGTTGTAGAAGAAAAGCGGTATAATGAATTAAAGTGTGAATATGAAGCGCGACAAAAGATTCCAAGATTAAGGAACTCATATTCAAAAATCTTACAGCAAGTGTCTGAGCTTTATACTCCTAGTATTTTTGATCAATTCCAGCACGAGTATGAGTTGTTTGAAACATGTTGTGTGAAAAGCATTGATATGCAACCACCTTTAATTGATTGTGTTATTTTGATGGAGAATAATTTGGGCGAGTGGCGAGTGTCATTTGATTTGGACAAGAATTCAATTTGTTGCTCTTGTCGTAAGTTTGAGAGTTTTGGCATACTTTGTTGTCATTGTTTGAGAGTTTTTATTCATATGGATGTTAAATCAGTTCCAGAACATTATATTTTAAAAAGGTGGACAAAGTTAGCTAGAAGTGAGACTTCACGTAATGTTGATGTTAACTATGTGGAAGAAGATGTTGATTTATCCCCAACCCAACGGTACAAGAAGATTTGTCCTCGTCTTATTAGGATAGTCACTGAAGCATGTAGAAGTCCAGAAACATTCACATTTCTTTGCAAAATGACTGATGAATTGGATAGACGCATGTCAGAGTTTCAAAAGAATCCAGTAGATATTTCTCAGGTGAATGAGTTTATTGGTAGAGTTAAGGAGTCTACTAGCACCCCTGACGATTTACCACAAGCAAAAGGATTAAAAAAAGAGAAGGCAGAAAGAGTTCAAAACGTCCAAAAGGTTGGGTAGAGAATCAACCTCCCAAAAGAAAGAAAAATGTTGGTTCTAAAGCTTCACAAATTCATGTATTGTTGAATTAGTTAAGTCAATTGTTGTCTTTAGTAAACTAAAAAAATTCATATTTTTCTATTATTGTATGTTGTGTAGAACAATAAAGGGCGTGATTCACAACTTAGCATAACAGGAAAAGACTATGACACAGGTGATTCACAAACACATGTTCAATATGAGGTGCCCAATACAAGTGCATCTATTTGGCTCAATAATTCATACAACATACCAGCCATGGTAAGCCAATATCAATTTGAGTATGTTATACCAAAAAGTATTTAGTAATTAAATGATTTTATGTTTTTTTTTGCAGGGAAACAATAACACTTTAACTCAATTCGGTGCTAATAGTTTTACTAAATTATTGGTGGTAAATTTTAACAATTACATAAACTCTACTGTCAATTCGGTGCAAATAGTTTTACTAAATTATTAACATATGTCTTTTTAATTATAGGAAAATCTTCATGGAGATGTTACAACATTTAACAATTTGTAAAGAAGTGAAGAAAACATATTTTGAACAATGACCTGCTAATGTTTTCATTTGAGGTTGTGTGGATGTAGTGACTATTTTTGTTTTCCATGCTCTTCCTTGGATGCAAATAATTCTAGTTGTTTTTGTTATGATGCAGATTTTAAGATCTGGTTTGTAATTTGTGACTTTGTGCACTAAATACATTATGTGTTTGTGACTTTATTTTTACTTTTGAATTTAGCAAATGAGAGTTCAGTTATGTTATTTTTAAATTGCAGATATTAGTAATTGTTAAATTGCAGATATTTTGTTGTGTTATTTTTACAATCTATTCTATTTTGTTAATGATTTTTTTACTATTTTGTTAATGATTTTTTATTTAGGAAGAAATGATTCATAATAGATGAATTTGTTAAGTTATTTTCAATAGTAATTCTTATTTAAGGAAATGAGATTATGATGCTATCTTATTCTAATATTTAATTTGATTTGAATAATAGATCTTTTTAATTTGAATTAATGAAAATATTTAATATTTATGAAATTATAAAAATATTTAATACCAAGAAATTTTTAGATGGAGAAGAAATTCTAAAAAACTTTCACGTAAAAATATAGAAGAAATTCCAAAAATAATAAAGACAAACTTTTTTATTTAATTATTCATTATAAATTCTGAACCTTATATGAGAGATGGCAGGATATATAAAAAAGGAGAAGATCTAAATCCCTCTAAATTCTTGATGTCTCTTATGTGCAATTCTTCTGTTGAAACTGCTAATCACCTTTTCTTGGAGTGTGAGTTCACAAAAAGAGTGTGCTTTTCACCTCCATTAGGCTTCAGGCTAGGTAATCACTTGGATATCCATGATTGGTTGTGTGAGTCTCTATCTGGTTCGAATATTCTAATTCACCAACTCCACTTTTCCACCTTGTGGAAACTGTGGCAGGCGCGGAATAATATGGTGTTTCGAGGAAAAGTGGAAGTAAGGTTGTGTCGGAGGCGTTTGAAGTGGTGGTGTGATGGACAAGAAGGAAAATCCTATTGATTTCTAGGTGGCTTCTTTTGCAGCTGGAACTAATTTGGTGCAAACTAATGCGGGTTGCTTTGAGGATGGGGTGATTGCTTTGAGGTGTGTCATTAAATCAGTGGGGAATGAGGTGTTGATGTCAGCGAGTAATCGTGAGATGAGCATCGCTTCCCCTGAAATTGCGGAGGTTGTGGCTCTTAGGTGGACGAAGCAATTGGCGAAGTACCTCATGCTTGACAATGTGGCTTTCATGTCAGATGCCCTTAATGTGGTTGTTTAATGTTGTTTGTTTTTCAGCGGTCTTAAAACCTAAACATATTTTGGTATTATAATTTTTATTTGCAGGTAAACAAAACACACAAATTCACTTCCATCATTATATCTTAATTTCTTTAATTACAATAATTTTGGTATATAATTTTTATTTGGAGTAACCAAATATTGGAAACATTATATAGATAAGGAAATGAATTTTAAAAAGTTCATTAAAACCTATATGTATTTGTCTGTTGAAAAAACTCTTTAATCTGTGAAATATTTTAGCAAGCTTATATAATGAAACTTCAACTTTTCTTTTCTACTCGTTAAAATTTTTTAGTATTTTTTTTAAATTTTCTTTAAAAAAATGTTTTAATTTTTTTTGGTTTGCATTGAGAAATTATCAAGTATAATTTATAGATTCTCTTTAGAGAATTATTTGAATTCTCTTTAATTGAAAAATTATTTTGAGTGATCAAATAACTATTATTGAATTTTCTTTAGAGAATTATTCAACTTTTTCTTGGTTTGAAAAATTATTACGAGTCGTTATACTAAATACTACGAGTGGTATTAATATCATATTCGAATAATCTTTGTACTATTAGAGGGTGTATTTCTAAACTTATTATCTACCGTACAAGTAGTTATATTTCAAAGTTTGGAGGGGAGTCAATGTAGAGACCTCAAGCTAACAAAAACCATGTGTCTTCAAAGTGGTGCAACTACTTCTAATCAAGAGGATGTTCGCTTATTTTCTGAGTGAATATTACAAATTGGAGATAGTACCTTGTCTAAGGCTAATGATGATTATGTTGACATCTCAATTTCAGATGAATTTCTTATTTCTAGTTTTATAAATCCCATTGAGGCTATTGTTGAGAATAACTATCCCAATCTAATTCAAAACTACCATGATCCCAACTATATGCAAAATCGTGCAATTTTGACTTCAATAATTGAAGTTGTCGATAATATTAATCAGTACATCACAAATATTCTTGCAGGTATTAGACATGTTGTTCAATTTATTTAATCCTACTACTTTACCTGACTTTCTATTAAAATTGTTATGACATTTATCTTTTGTTTTCTATTAATAGGAGAGAAAAAGGAATACTTTAGCCGTGATTCTATTGAAAGATCTGTAGGCACTGATTTTGATACATTTGAGCACCTGACCCCTGAATTCCTAAATGCATTGAAAATTTCTGGATTGCCAATGCAGAACCTAGATCAATTTGAAGGATTATGCAATAGTACCAAATTCACTGTAACAAAGTTTGTTAATCATGTCATTGAAGTCAAAATCATTTTAGAAAAAAATATAGATAACATAATTTATATTCTTATAATGTCTGTATCCATCACAATCACCATGGACATTTAAGTTGGTCAGGAGACAATTCTCCATTATTGTATCTTTTGCTATGACACTAAACAAATCTCAAGAAAAATCATTAAACAATGTTAAATTATATCTGCCAAAGGATGTTTTTAGTCATGGGCGCATTGTCTAGTGTTAAAACTAAAGAATCGATGCCAGTGATATCCAAATCCATTTGAGACCAGCTTAAGGTTCAAAGTTCAGTTACTCAACCCTTATAGAATCGAAGCCGGGTATGAAATTTACCAGAGTAGAATTTAGAAACAGAAAAGATAAAAACCAACTCATAATGCATGTCAAGTATCATTCCTTCCCTTTTCATTTTCTTGTTCTGTTTTCCCAAAATCCTTCCCTCTTTTCCCCCTTGTAAACTATTAAACTCCCTACATAATCTAAGATTAACAAATATATCTGCCTTAATCCTAAAGAGTGAAAGTTGAAAAACCTCATTTCAAAAACATGGTAGAAATTGCAGCAAATGGTGACAAGCCATAAAAAGGTACAAAGCAATTTTTGTTTTCTATTACAACATATTGCAGCTGTAACTCCTATTACAAAATCCAAAGAAAAAGAAAACAACTAGTTTTCACAAGGAATCTATCAAATCATTCATATACAAATGGCGTTCCAAGTTTTCAAGAGCAGTAGCCTGCCATGTCAAATAAACTCATGGGCCAGCGTCTAGTTTTTCTCTGATCATATATTATAGTTAACACATCACTATCTAACACCTCAAAATGGTTAGATGAGAATCAAGAAACATGAGGAAAAAAATGTTTGGTTAATTGGTTATAACGTTATATCACTGCATGTAGTATAGGCTCACGCATAAAGTTAGACGGACTCTGCACCATAATGTGCATCATTCCCATTGGTGCTGCCATTTTCTTTGCCAAGTTTTGATTTGGGTAATGCGGAAGCTTGTCGAGGAGAACCCTTGTTTGATTGCTGATTCAAATTAAGGTATGTGTAAACAGACATACCACCAATGGCTGTGAATGCGCCGAAGATACTGATTGTGCCGGGATTAGATGCAAAGAGATAATAGTTTCCTAGAAGTAGGACACATGTCTTAAACTGCCCGAGGACAACGTGTGAGATGGCCGATGTAGCTCTGTAAATTGCAAGATGGAAGTGAGACAAAGTATTAAAGATGAAAACCTTCAAATGATAAATAGACACACCGTAACTCAGCCAAACATAAAAATGACACCATCTAGTTCTGAATAACTTTACAGTTTTTCCCGACAATTGTTACATAACAAGAAATGCTACTTACCCTAGAGCTAAAGCACCAGACCACTGCAGCAAGAATCCAAGAATGGCTGATCCGAAAATCACCAAAGTGTTGTTCAAGTTCCAATCAAAGGAAAGTACACCTGGAGGGTCTAAGCATGGTAACATGGCAGCAAGGAAAATCAATGTAATAGGCGTTGTTTTCCACATCAGCCTGTTGATCAATCCACAAATCAAACAAGATAGACAAAGAAATGATCAGATACAAATAGTATGCACTGTCAGTGTAAAAAAGTTTTACATGTGGGGCACTTTACTATGTTAGTTCCTATATATCTCCATAATTATCTTTCGGGTAAAATGTGATTGGATGCATCTGTAAAACGTGTTTACACTGGCAATGTATTTGAATTAAACTACTCGTAATAAATTACTCACGACAAAGCTGTCCAATTCTCTTGCTGCTGCAATCTAGACCAAAGGATCTTATTTACAGCACTCGGTACAATCCATGCCAACGCTACACAAGCACCAAATAAATGGAACTGCAGATCCGTCACTGTAGCCACAGCAACACCAATAGATACCACTGTCAATGCTAACACCTGTATAGTTTCAAATGTTATAGTAAGCATCTAAACCTTAATTGAAATAAGAACAAAAAAATTAACCACAAGTCAAATCTGAAATACAAGTACAAACTAGGTGAGTGAATATACCTTGGGCAGAGATACTTTCTTCCTATACAATACGAATTCTGCAAAAACGATTGATGGCGTCACTGCAATCTTTGCCATCTGATAGAAACCAATGCTGAAGACACGGAAATTAAATCAAGAGTCTAAATCTAAAAGACATACTTTAAGTATAAATGTGAGTAGTTGGGTTACCTATTATACTTCAAGCTAACATTAGCAAAGCCAGTAGATAGAGACATGACAAATCCAAGGGTAAATAAAGTTGACATTCGAGTTGATTTAGATGAAGGAGATGGAGGAAGGAGAGAAAATGCTTTTAGTACTGCCATTAAAAACCAGCTCACTACGTAGTGAATTAGTGTGAGAAGTATAGGGAATTTGAATTTAACAGTTTGAAGCACCTGAAATAAAAGAAGAGAAAGAAAAACCTTGGAAAGTCAGCAACTAGTACTACAAGCCACGCTACATCAAAATTTCAACACAGAACACAGCTTTGGAAAAGATAGAAGAAATGGCACGAAACGAACCATTTTGTTTACGAAAATAATACCAACTGCAACCACAAAATTGAAGGTGAGTGCAGTAGCTGGACCACATAGGCGCCGCTGTTGACGTTTTGCACCGTCGGAGAAATTAAATTGATTAAAGATAGAGGCTCTCAAGTCTTCCAAAGCCCTTCCTGCAAAAGACAACAGACAAAAAAAGATAAGGGGAAAGGTTACATTACCATGACGTTTTGCTTAGCAAAGAATATTTACAGTAAACAAACAATTGTTTTTCTTTTTCTCTTCATAGGCTTAATTCAAAGAGTATTTAAATTTATGTTGAACAACCTATTTGAAGTCTATTTTGAGCAACTTTAATGTACTAAAGAGTAAGGACTATAAATACTAGCATGTGGTACAAGATAAATACTACTCCCAAAAGGACTTAAATAGAGAATGCTAGCACAAGCAAACAGCAGTTAAGGATACAAAACTAAGCTATTTTTATAATAAAAAGGAATGTAGTATACAGAAGACAAGAATGTAGCTAAAGCCGATACAGCATTCAAAAGATTATGTCAACCAGTGGCTATATCTGTATATATGTTTAGATTTTGCAGTCAGATCTCTCTGCCGCAACAATCCTTTGATGGAGTAAGAAGAATCCCAGTAAAAAATTAAAGTCTTTTCTGAAAATTCAATAGGGACAGAAACATGCTTCTAATAAGCAGGAAAGGTTTGAGATATGACATAATTTATAATTATTATAATTGATATGTATGCATTAGGATTGATTGTGTATTGATTTATCTCCCCTAATCATGAGACTCTCGTTGTACTATATTCAATATAAATAATACTAAGTTGAGAGCTATATTCGATATTGTTAAGAGTCCCACATCGGACAATATATGGCATGAACATGTGTTTATAAGTGGGGGTAATCCTCACTCTACCAACCGGTTTTGTAGGGTTGAGTTAGACCCAACCACACTTCTTAACATGGTATCAGAGCCTGGTTTAAGATCCGGTGGGCCACCTTCTATGGTTTCCGCTATCGGGCCACCTACCATTTATATCCGGTGGGCCACCTTCTATGGTTTCCGCTATCGGGCCACCTACCATTTATTTCCACGCTTCAGATGTCCAGTCCTGAGCGTGAGGGGGTGTGTTAAGAGTCCCACATCGGACAATATATGGCATGAACATCTCTACCAACCGGTTTTGTAGGGTTGAGTTAGGCCCAACCACACTTCTTAACAGATATATATAATACTAAGTTGAGAGCTAATCTCTCAAGTTATTTTGTACTAATTCCTTATTCTCAAGTGTGCCGACACTCATATAGATCGTGTCTCCAATGTGAGATACTTAGTGGTAGAAAACAAGCATGCCTGCCCCCAAAAGTCCACAAACAAACGGTGTGGGGCGGGCATAAAACCTTGGTCTGCCCCGCGAAAAGAATGAGGATGGGGCAGGCATGCGGGCGGGCTTTGCACCTCTAAAGGCTTAAAGTTATAAAATAATCTTGTTAATATCCGCCCCGCAAAAAAACACAGGCAAAACGGCATACTTGGTGGGCCTAGTCCATTTTGTCGCCCCTAATATGGATCGTGACTCCAATGTGTGAGTGTCTGACACCGACACGTGGTTAGATTATATTCAGTAATTTCATTTTCTCAAAAGACTTCCTGTCAGTTATTCATAGCTAAAAACATAAAAGTCTTAATCATATCTTCTGCAACAACATAAAGAAACTTTGAAATCAAGTCCAAAACTCATTCAACAAGAAATCCCAAAAATAGATATTAAATTTAAATAAGTCAATTATTTGAATTAAAAGGGAACATAACATAAGTAGTATAATATCCCTAGAAGGTATCAAAGTTATCAAATTCAAAGCATAAAGAAGACAGAGCAATGCATCAATAAGGTAAAGAATCACCAATCATCAATGATGTGGAAGAACCTAGAAGTTCCATTGTGAAAACCAAATTTCACAGATCAATAAACAGCATCATAGCATAGAAAACCCCCAAATAAAAAAAATTTCCCAAATGCAAACATAAACAAACTAAAAAAAAGGGTTTCACAAGAAAAAGTTAAAAAATAGTACCTTTTTCACCAGCATCGCTATCTTTGCGCTTGAGAATCTTTCTAGCGTCTTTTCCGGTTAAGAAGCTGAACATTGTATCTGTTTGTTGTATAATTGAGTTGAATAGAAAACCCTAGAGTAGAAGAAGGTAGAGAAAAAATAGAAAAAAAGAAGGATAGAGAAGTGTGATGTAGAGAGTGTAGTAGTAGCTGAAGTTGTGAAGCAGAAGAACAAAAACAACCTTTGGTTGAATTCAAACGCAATGCAGAGACATAGACAAAAACAAGTACAAGACAAAATTAATTAAATTAAATCAACTATCAAGTATCTATCAATTAAATCAACCATTAATCTTACTAATTTACCCTTCATTTGATTTTTACTTAACACTACACCATACCCTTTTTGGTAATCAAGTATCTACCCATTACAATCAATCTTACTAATTTACCCTTTATTTGATTTTTACTTAATCAAGTATCTACCCATTACAATTAAATGTCATCAATCTTACTAATTTACCCTTCATTTGATTTTTACTTAACACTACACCATACCCTTTTTGGTAATTTATTAAATACAACAACTTTGACCAATAGCATAGTCCAATTGCCAAGTGACAAAAGTTTTTTTTTGAAAACTTTGTCTTCCTCTTTCCCTCACTTTCTCCCTCTTTCCAATTTTTCCTCTCATCTCTTTTTTCCCTCAACAAACCCTAAACTGAACGTTCCCCCTTCTCCCTCGTCTCCCTTGATTATTAAAGTTGATTAATGAATTATAAGTAAAAATAAGTGGTTAATAACATGTATTATTTGATTGATAAAATAGTTAAATTGATTAATGACATAATTTTATATTTTTATTATAAAATAAAAATTAAAAATAAATATATTTTTTATTTTAAAAAATATTGTTGACCATGTAAATACAGTATGTAAGTTTTAGGCTCTAATTAGTAAAAATAGTGGTTGGTTGATAACATAACTGATAGCTTATATTTTATAATTGATGGTTGACTTATAACTTATATCTGATGGCTGATGACTTATATTATATTTAATTTGGTATTCTAAAAATTCTAATCTAAAGCCAATTCTACTCTCTTTTGAGGTGTTCATCATCAAGTCTACCATTGTTCTTGTAGTACTTGCCGAAAAAGTAGCCGGAGTCGTCATCCGCCCAAACAGTAAGACATTCCGTCCTTCATTCCCCAATTATTACTTTTCTAGGATTTCCTTCCCATTTCCTGTAACGCGTGAGATTGCGATTTCCGATTCTGCGATTGCATGCTAAAGCGGTTTGATTGAAAACATACATTAGTTTTTTTTTAATGTTTATAGATTGAATTCTATCTATCAAATCTGATTTTACAGTTCTACTTCTTAGATTAGGTTTTTTTTTCTTACTCACCATGCTCACTATGCATCATTGCATGTGCACGCTGATTTGCCCCATTTTCATAATCTATCGGATGAAATTGCTACCAATCACACTAATTTGAAGCGCTGCGCTTTACTCGCCTTGTCCTGCTTCAGTTTTTGTTAAAGTAGCTAGTTATTAGTCTTTATATCACAACGTTCAAGGTTTTCTTCTACTGTTTTGGATAGGTAAGAAAAAATGATGGATGTAGCCTAGTGAGAACGATGGCAGTTTTTGCACAAGGGGGGGAGTATTTGTTGGTTGAAGAGAGTTAGTTGGGTATGAGAGGTTGAGAAGGTGAGGACAATGCAAACAATGAAACGCATGTAGAGTAGCTTGTCTCAGGGATGTTTGAAAGAAATACAAATGGGGAATGTCTTGGTTCAGAAATGGTTAGAATGGGAGTTGGTTAAGGAATGATTGAAGAGGGAGTTGGACTGAGAATGGGACTAGGTGTTTGAGATGAAGAGGAATCGCTCATGGAATCAGTCATGTTTTAACTTTTCCTTGACTGCAACATTGTAGCATCAGGTTGTTCAATTAGGAAATGGCACCTTGCTACACGCCAACATCTACCCGAACAAAAAACTATATTTTATAATATTTGTTTTATCTGTATGCTTCTTTTTGAATAATATTACCCTTGTCAAACTCTCACACAGGATGAATAAGTGAATATTAATATATTTTTTTCTCTTGCTTTGTTATCATCTAAGAAGTTAGAAAAATAGGGCTTGACTTTGAGTGATTCTTTAATAATTGAGCTTTTTTATGTATGTGTGATCTTTCCTCGCTGCTAATCTGTTTTTTTTTTCAGATTCTAAATGACAACTGGGCAATTTGTTCAACTCTGCATATATTTGTTAGCCGGAAGTTCATTTATTTGGTCACCTGGAAAATGTTCGGTTGGTGATTCAGTATCATCAGGTCAGGTTAGTAAAATATTTGTTTAACAGCACAGGGATCCCATTGTCTGAAGCTTGATGTGAAAGTTCCCCGATTGTTAGAATCCTTATTTGAAAGATTTACTTCTGTTGTATCTTGTCTCTTAATTTCACCATGGTAACAGTAGGGATCTGTAACAGAAGACGTCAATTTATTTTTCTTTTAATGTTTTTACAGTATTTTATCAGTTGACTGCACTCTTTTTTCCTTGCCAAAAGATGCAAAAATACTGGCATGTGTTTCAACAAAAGGAATAATGAATTTGTAAAACCTTTGGAATGACAAAACTAGAACTCTTCTCTGCAAGAATCTGTGTTATTCTTGTTGAAATGACTTCTTTCAAAATGACCATAGGACTAGCACCACAACGGCAAATGTACAGTACATACTGCTCGTCAACTGTTCCATAATAAGTCGCAAAGAGTTTAGTATTTAAAAATATGGAGAAAAAAACACTCCACATGTGATTGATGGGTGTGATAGGGGAAATAGCATCAAGGGATGGGTATGCGAAGTAAGCATGGTTGTAGTGGCCATGCCTAAACATTAAAACAAGCAAATGCTGTTTTGCATACTCTTAAAGCCAACCAGAAAGTAAATTTAATGTTGTTTTAAGAATGGTACATTGAATGAGTGATTATACAAGACAAGGTTAGAAATACAATTTTATAGAGAAACTTCAGGGAAGCCCTTGTTGTACCATGGGCGCTCATTTTAACCGGATAAGCAAGTTATCTATACCTATTTCCAAATTCGGTTATATAAAACCGGATAAATATATGTATGGTTTTAATCAGGCCCATATTTTGGACATGTTGGACACTCATCCGATATGTTGGACATCTATATCCAAAAACAAAACCAAATATTTTCTGCTTAGCCTCTCTGCATCTTTGCTTCCTTTTCGCCCTGATCTCAAAATTTCAAAATCTTCAATCCACAAACTGTAAGTCCATTATGCCGTCATAGTTTTTTTTCCCTTTCAACCACGTTCTATTATCATCACACCGTTCCTTTCAAAGATAGCATTGTCATACATTCTGTTGTGTTATTATGTGTACCATTGATCTTGCCGTATTGAGTTTCTAAAGAATTTTTGAAATATTTACTTTAAGTTGTGAACCTATGATTGTATATGACTTATCTATGAAGTTTAACTCCATATTAATAATTTTTTTACTTATTCATTTAATAAATGGTTCGAATGTAGGTTTACTCAGTTAAATCAATTGAACCTTAAACCTGAGATCTTGCTGGTTCACCTTCCTGTCCAATTTTTAAAACATCGAAAAGTTCCCTTTTTTCTTTGGATCTTGTTGAACAATATATTTCATTTTCATTTCAGGTGGTTGGCTCCCCAAATCCTAGGTCTAATAGTAGAAATGCTAAATCTTTTTCTCCCATGAAGCAATTTCTGATGCAGTCTTATTATGGCAGATATACGAGCTTACATGATTCAGACTTTGAAAATTTCATGTCTCATGAAGTCACTTCTGGTCTGTGTGAAGTGCTTCCAGAAAACCTTAGTTCCATATTAAGATTGTCAGTTCTAAAACGAGGTCTTGTTGGTGAAGGTTCTCACCGCCATGTGTCTACATTAATCAAATTACAAACCCAACAGTTGAACTCTTTGTCTGATCTTTTAAGCTACTCATGTGAATTAATAATTATTGAAAGGCTGCCTTCTGGAGTTTTTGCTGATCCATTTGAATTACAACATCTTGCTCAACGCGGTGGTAAACACTCATCACTTGCTTTTCAGATTTGAATAAAAAAACATGGGAAAGAAGTTTCATATTTTTACTTTAAGGAACATCTCCATATTTCTTTCTTTCAATCAATAACACATTTTATTGCAGTGTTCAATGATATAGCTGTCTTTGGCGATACAAATCTGGAGCTGCCTTCGTTCTTGTCCAATCGATCTGCCGTTGAAATCCACTTAGATATTGATCCAAATACATTGCTACAGCCAGCTGATATCAGCATAGAGCTTCCTTTGCACGCACGATATCAAGTAAGGATGTTACAACTCAGTTTATACCTTATGCACTTTTAGCTAAACCTTCCTTTTTTTTCCCTTTTGTTTTTCAGCCTCTGAATGAAAGTGGCTACTCAATAGTCGAACTTGGTGCACCGGATACGATTCTGCGCTGCAGCACAAAGGAAAAGATGGAAAATAGCAGTTGTTTGTTCAAATTGAAAAATGATGATGCCAATCTGTATGAAGCTGGTCTTGTTTGGAGAATACCATCTGGAAAAAAGGCGCACTCTGATCTTGTCTCTATTGTTACATTTCTTACAGCCTTCTTATCAACTCTTGTAATTATGGTAACATCATTGCATTATTTTAATAGCAGAGTTAGTAAAGATTTGAAACAATCGTAAAGTTTTTTTTTATTATGTAAGGATATTTTCTCATCATTCATTATTTGTTGTATTTTATGTAAGGATATTTTCTCATCAGTCAAGAAAAATAATTTGCTTGAGCTTTTTATCTCATAACCAAGATTCTTCATTTGCAAATAAAAATAGTATTAAGGTAGTACTTCAAATCAAAAGAATAGTTTCGCACTTGTTATACTAAGCAAGTGGAAAATAACTTTTATTGCAAAAATTTCCCTTGTAACTACCATGAACTCATTCTTAGACTATTAATCTATCAATGTACAATCAGCGTCTTCCTTCTTGTACTAATATTTAGGTCATCAACTATCTACCCATTACAATTAAATGCCATCAATCTTACTAATTTACCCTTCATTTGATTTTTACTTAACACTACACCATACCCTTTTTGGTAATTTATTAAATACAACAACTTTGACCAATAGCATGGTCCAATTGCCAAGTGGCAAAAGTTTTTTTTTGAAAACTTTGTCTTCCTCTTTCCCTCACTTTCTCCCTCTTTCCAATTTTCCCTCACTTTGACTCATGTTGTTTACTGTCTATAGCCTACTTCTTCATTTGCTTAATACATTGTCTTTTTTTTTTGTTTTTGTTAAAAATCAATGGTGAAGTCTATTAAGAGCAATGTTGGAATGATACAATATATAGCACAGGCAGTTATGCTGATTATGTTTTCAGATCAATATATCTCCTCTTATCCTGCATATATATTCATTTTTCTGCTTTGCAAAACTACAAAGTTGCCGGTAATTACGCGTTGATTCGGGTTGATTCGGTTTTTTGCGTGAATGGAGTTTGGTCTTTGGCTCACTGCGTGTTTAGTATACAGGGAATCAATTGTATTTCTCTTTTGATTTAGTTGAAAATTCTATGATTATTATGTGTGTAATACTGATTATGTGTTGAGTTATGCTTATGCATCCTCTACCATGTCGGTTTTGTTTTTCTGATTGAAAGATTTAGTTCAAGTTACAGGTTGCATTTTAGTGTAGGGTTGTTTCTTTGCCCGATTTTATGGCAGTAATTTGTTATGTGTACTGAAACAAACATTGTTGGATCAGTGGTGCCACCGCGGTTTGTATTTAAACAATAAAATTCTATTTTGGACTTGTAGGCTCTCGCGGCGAAGGTGGAATTCATAGGAATAGCGACGGGGAGCAGTATATGGAATGATTTTTGGTGTGAAGATGTTCATGGTCATGTTCATTTCCTACTTCCAAATCCAGTTTCGGTAATTACGCGTAGATTCGGTTTTTCGTGTGAATGGAGTTTGGTCTTTGGCTCACTGCGTGTTTAGTATACAGAGAATCAATTGTATTTCTATTTTGATTTAGTTGAAAATTATATGATTCTTATGTGTGTAATATTGATTATTTGTTGAGTTATGCTTATGCATCCTCTACCGTGTCGGTTTTGTTTTTTTGATTGAAAGATTTAGTTCAAATTACAGGTTGCATTTTAGTGTAGGGTTGTTTCTTTGCCCGATTTTATGGCAGTAATTTGTTATGTGTACTGAAACAAACATTGTTGGATCAGTGGTGCCGCCGCGGTTTGTATTTAACAATAAAATTCTATTTTGGACTTTTAGGCTCTTGCGGCGAAGGTGGAATTCATAGGAATAGCGAGGGGGAGCAGTATATGGAATGATTTTTGGTGTGAAGATGTTCATGGTCATGTTCATTTCCTACTTCCAAATCCAGTTTCTTCCCTTTTCATATGAGGTATTAGCAAAGTTTTTTGGTGTGAAGATGTTTTTAGTGTGAAGATGTTCATGGTCAGGGATCCTAATATGAGTTTCGATTCTGCATCAAATTACCTCCTCCATCTTGCCTTCAACGATAATGACTATAGAGATTCGAGAAGGTCGTGGTGTAGGTAAGCTAGCTTTTTCATTGATATATCCAATGTATTTATATGAAGTTTTGGAAAAGTCAGGACGCCACTGATTGTTGGTAATTGTAGCAACAATGATTAATGGTAGTCTGGGGTTTAAGCTATGTAAATTGTTTGTCAGGTTTAAAATTACAATGCTTAAAATTTACTCTGAAATTGTTATTGGCGTTGATAGCCCGGAGTCAAGTTCTTTAGGCGCAACCAAGTTCCACATGCTTAGAGATCGTTGCCGAATTCTGTTACAGGTTAGTTTTAAAGTATTTGTATTCTCTAATTTTTTAAAAACGTTTTTCTTTGTTTTAATCATTTAAATAAATATTAACTAGGTACATGATGAATTAGTGCTGGAAGTGGATCCCTCAGTGGTGGAAAATACTGCAATATTGTTTGGAGAATGCAGTATCACTTCTTGGTTTGTATTCCTTAAACAAATTTAATATAATGAAGTGAAATATATTGACATTATTGAGATGAATATAACTATGATGCAATATCACTTCTTGGTTTGTATTAGAATTCTTGAAGCTGTTTTCATGGAAGAAGCTCTCTCGGTGATGCTGTCGACCATGCTGCGTAACCTCACCGACAAACTCTATGAGAAACACAAAATTGTGGTTGTCGAGGTTTTTTTCCACTTTATAAATTCATCACTTTTTCTCCTACTTCGTTGATTGGTTCCAACAGTGCTCAAAAATCTAATATTTTGGGACAACCATTACCTCAATTTTCCCTTTTATTTGATGGGTGTTTCGGGTGATTCACCATCACAAAAGGGTTGATGGAGATTTTTCACTAGAAAGAAGCAGGTTGATTCTGCAAGTAAAAAAACACTAAACCTCTGCTTGCACAGGAGTTAACTATTCCTCATCTTATTGTAATTGGTAATTCATTCAATTCAACTTAAAAAGTTTTAATTTTTATCTTTGTTTTTCATCTGGCTTTCTTGATAATCTGTTTTGCACGTAGGAAAATTGTCTGGTTTGTGTTTTCATGTTGTTAACATGAAACTGGTGTTTTCTGTTTCTGAGCACATGATTTGGTTTATTATACTAACTGTGTTTTGGAAATTGAATTTGATGTGTGTGTTTTTTTATGATAATAAAATAACTAGGTGTTGGTTTAACAATTGGTGCTGGAGTGTATGTTTTGGTTGGAACAGTAGCTAGAGAGCATTTTGGACCAGCTTTGGCTATTTCTTTTCTGATTGCTGGCTTAGCAGCTGGTCTTTCTGCTTTTTGCTATGCGGAGTTGGCTTGTCGATGTCCTTCTGCTGGAAGCGCGTATCACTATTCATACATATGTCTTGGAGAAGGGTTTGTTTTTCTTAGTCATTTTCATTTGGTGTGTGTTTGGATTAGCTTATGTGAAACTGATTTTGAGGTCTGTGAATTTATTTAACATGGTCTCATAAAAGAAATTGATTACTTTGTTTTCAGTGTTGCTTGGTTGATTGGCTGGTCCTTGATACTGGAATATACAATTGGTGCCGCAACTGTTGCACGTGGCGTACCCCTAATCTTGTACAGTGTTATTTTAACTTTTCCGTTAATTTTTGCTTATTTTGATGCAGTTGCCAGTACTGCTGAAGAGGTATAGTGCATTGTCACGTTGCCACACACCGATAACTTCCATGAATGCAGTTTTGTTTCCTTCTTACCATAATTTATGTGTGTGGCTCTTTCGCATCCAATGGTTTAAACTTGCTGATAATGTTTCACTTAATCAACAGGTGAGAAATCCTCAACGAGATTTGCCACTAGGCATCGGTGCTTCATTGTTCCTATGTTGTGGAATTTATATGCTGGTCTCCATTGTTGTCGTTGGTTTAGTACCTTATTATGAAATTGGTCCAGATACACCGATATCCTCTGCATTTGCTGTCCATGGGATGCAATGGGTTGGGTAAGTTTATAGTTTTCGCGAAATTTATCAAGTTTCTTTTTTTGGCTCCATAAAGATAGTTTCCTAAGATGAGTTTACTATCTTTGACTGCAATTACATTATAAATGCTGGAGCTTGCACAGCTCTCATCTCAGCATTGATGGGTGGGATACTTCCACAGGTAAATTATCGGATATCTCTGATATTGCCAAAACAATTCTTCCTTATTTCAATTTGCCAAACGAAAACACTAAATATTAGTCGATGTTTCGCAGCCACGAATTTTGATAGAGATGGACTATAGCCATGAGAGCAAGACTACGAAACTCTTCTTTACACAAAAATGAATTTCATTATTTTAATAATTTAATTTTTCAGTTCTCCAAGCTCTCCAAGCAAGTGGCACACTTTTTCTGCATTAAATATACTTTTATTTTGTGATACCTGCTTCATGGATTTTCCCTGAGATATTATATTTATTTGATAATTTCACAAAATTTATTTTTTTGTCTTTCCTTACTCAATCTGATATAATTTTCTTACAGGTGAGTCACCTTATGAAAACATTGGGTACATTATCTGGCTACCTTTTCGAATGCAACAACTACATGCCGTTATCTGATTCTGAACACGACAACTATTTAATGACTCCTGACTCAGTTCTCGAACCGGCTGGTTTGAACTAGACTTCATCTGGTTCAGGAGGATATGGTGGTATGGATTGTAGAACCACTTTTGCTTGCACTGCAACTACTGAGATAATTAGAAAGAAGAGAAGTGGTTGTTCAGCTTTTTGACCACCGTGTGGCCAGCATGCTTGTCGGTAATGGAAATCACAGTGAATCTGATGAGAAAAACTTTGATATTTTGATTTTTATGATTATTATTAAATATGAAAAATTGATATGCAGACTGTTTTAATTTTCATTGCATTGGGTGATTATTTTGTCACATAAGCTTGTTTTTTTAGCTTCTTTGATCCGATTTTCTTAAGGGATCAATAATTTTGATCAATTTACTTCAAAATATAATGATGAAAACTCATGTACTAGAGACATCAAATTATTCTATTATGGCTTTTTACAGTTCAACAAGATTGGAAAATAGTAAATTTTATTGTAGCATTTGGTAATTTATTCCATGTCATTTATATCTTTTACTCAGTTTTTTTGTTTAATCGAATGCCATATAGACCTCAAGGGAATAATGTTAAAACTGAGAAGATAAGGAAACAATAGAGGAGCTTACATCTTTCACGGAAGCCAAAGCAAAACTTTGTGAAATTCTTCTTCTTTTGGTATGCTATTTGTTTTTTACTTTATTAGGTTTTATCTGCTATTTTTTTAGCCCCAGGATTGTCCTTTATTGTAGACAAGGTTACATTTTCATTACCAGATTTTTTTTTGGTATTAATGAAGTATAACTTATAATAGATTGTATAAAACGCGAACTTCATTTATAATAATTATGACTTAGAGCATCCTTAATGGGAGTAAACTAAATGAGTAAACTAAGATACTTTGTGTGGGCCTAAAGTGATTTGTAGGATTTAAAAAATTTATAGTTGATTTGAGTAGTTTTTACTTTAATGGTGGTTGTCTATAAGAAACCAAAACTTGACCCCACATTTTATATTTTTTATTCAAGTTATCATTAATTTAATTATTTTAATTAAAATACATATAATTTTTTAAATAAAATTTACCTTAAAAATTTAAAAATAATATTAAATATATTTTATTATAAAATTAAAAATGATACAAAATTCAAAATAATAATACATAAAAAAAAATTACATTTGCATAGGAATATAATTATAATAAGGATTCGACTGGTTGAGATCCATTTGATAAATAAATAAGATTGAAAATTGAAAGAAAAAAATTTAGAAGTAAAACTGTGTGTAAAAAAAATTAAAATTTCTATAGAATTTATAGAAGGTAAAAAATGATAATATGACTGTTACTATTTTCAAATATCATATCCTTACTTTAATGTTGTTGGAATATTTGGGATATTTTATTAATATTAAATAATATTATAATAGGTTTCACATAGTTAACGTTAACTATATAGATGATGGGAACTAAATTTTAGTTCATTTGGATGCCATGTCAGCTCTCCTATAATGCAAATTCCTTATTACTAACGTAAGCTATAAAGAATTTTGGTTTAACAACCCTGCGTTAAAGTTGCTCTTAGAAATCCAAAGTTAAAAAGGCCAAATCTTGGTTAGGTTGCAAAAACTTAACAATTAAATTTCTACTTTTTACTATTAATTGGTGTTGTAAATTTAGCGTGGAACAAAAGATTAATATGATTTTGAAGTGGTGGATGTAAAATATGTAAGAATCAATTTATCAGAGCATATTTATGATAATTATGATTTATGATCTATTCTAGGTTTCTCGAGTTTTTCTGTTTATAGTTTTATTTTGGTGGGAGAGTGCTCAAGTATCATTACTCATTGATAGATTATTTATTATTTATTATGGAGTCATTGAACATATTGAAATAGCCACAATAATGGATATATTTGTAAGAAATAAAACATGGATTCAAGATAACAAATACAGAATCTAAGGAATAAGGAGTACCTTTGAAAATAGTTTACATTTTTATAGATTTTGAATGCCTTTGAATTTGGGTTAGAATTGAATATTGTTGTGGATTCTTCTAACACAACTTTATTTGCATCACAAAGGACTTTAAAGGATTGTATAATATCATTAATGTGTTCTGCGATGGTTTATCAACTATCTCAATCTAAATTATATTATCATCAAATTTAATGATATTTTAACCTATCTTTGTGACAATGTAGGATAATGTCAAGAGTATGGTTAGAAAGTTTCTTAAATATAGCATGAACATATCACAAAGGACTTTTTTTTTTTTTTTTTTTTTAATTTTTTCTTCTTTTTATCAATGCATCTATAAGACTCA